GAAGAGCAAAGTAAAAGTAGAACATTTTTTTACTTAATTTTTGGAATATCAAGCATAAAACACAATCAGCGGTATTTGGCCGCCTTGAACACCAGTACCATTTTTGCTATCAGTCGATGGGGCAAAATAAAAATTTACTACTTCAGCCTTTTCTTCATCCGTCGTTAATTCATTTTCGATAACAACTCCAACTTCTGCCATACCCTAAATGAATTAACACTAATCTTTACACATTTTATAATGTCCATCTAATCTTCATCTCATCTCAAGAAACGACATTAGCCCTTATCTATAAATGACCGCTGCAGCCCGGCAACAATTTACCAACAAAGTGATGAACCAAAAAAACCCCTTTTCTAGCTTTGTGATCAAAATCTGCATACGCTTCAGAAAGAGCACACTGCTACAATGTTGGCTTCCATACAATACTATTATTTTTTAGGTGTAAGGCTCGAATGTACAAAAGGTAACGGATGAAGTAAATCAGCAAATGATACTCACACAGTGTAACAAACAAAAGCACAGGAAGTCGCCAATGCCGAGAAATGACTCACTTTCGTCTACATATAATTATATGGACGAAAAATAGGAAGAAACGAATGACTTATTGGTTATATCAAAGGCAAGAAGCGCAATGATGCAATAAAGAATCATTGGCGACGCGCACTGGACAGGCCCGTGCGATCATGAGTTTTGCAGTGTTTCGTGTTGTAATAAGATCTTTCGAAATTCCGCTAGCTAGAAACCTCTGACATACTGATCCTCGAATTTCAGGAAGTTAACTGTCCACGCTATACTTGGACAGGAAACATTCTCTTGACACTCACGGGGCAGTACGTGGCAACCACGTATAATGGGGGGCTGAACTTGACAAATTTAAATTGTGGATGAGTTGGGAACATTTCCTGAAAGTTTCAGCCTCCCAGCTTCTCTGATTCCGGAGTTATCCATTTCCACGCCAAAAATTTTCACGGGGCCGTACGTGATAGCACGCACAACCGGGGATTGAATTTGATATATTTAAGTTGTGGATGAACTGGGAATATTCGCTGAAAGTTTCAGCCCCCAGCTTTCTTGGTTCCCAAGCTAGCGATTTTCGCGCCAGGAAACTTCACGGGGCCGTACGCGGGAAACGCGCATACCTGGGAGCTGAATTTAAAACCTTTGAGTTCTAAATAGGCGGGGAATATAATCTCAAAATTTTAGCTTCATAGCTTTTCTGGTTCCAAAGTTAGAGATTTTCCCGCCAGAACTTTGAGGCGCTCGTACGCGCGGCCTAGACGTGCGAGAGGATTGGTACCGCGGTCCTAGGTTGGCACTTGGCCGGGGAACCCACTCGCAAAATTTTGGCGCCGGAGCTTGCTTGGGTGGCGAATCGAAATACGGACAGACGCACACGCACACACACACATGCACACACACGCACACCGGGGTCGTCGCAATATGCGTTTTCGCATTTGCGTATATGCAAAAACGCAT